TAAATTTATCTGATAAGGATATTCAATCTAATTGCCATATATGCAGGATAGATCAAGCAGTATAAAAATCATCTTACTATGTAAATATAATGACCATGATTTATAAAATTTATTATATGTAAGACTTTTTCAGATTACGATTTTTAAAAGCAAAATGTTGCGTTTTAGACCTTTAAAAGTTTATATTTTATGAAATATGTACGGGAAAAGAGTAATAATAATAATAAATATTTTTATATTACATCTATGTATAAGAAGAAAATCACATTGTTACAGAAAAAATACATATCTATTTGTAAATTGCATATTGTTTTATTATTTATTTTACGTACCTATAAAAATAATGTACCTAATCATAAATATTATATTAAAAAATTAAAGAAGAGAAAGAGAAAGAAAATGACATTTGTAAAGATTTTATTAATAAGTTTATCATATAGATACATAAATTCAATAATGTTAGTAGTATATGTTAATTACGAGCCTTATACTCGACGAAAATCACAATGCAGAAGAGAATTTTACAGAATGTTAATGAATTGATGTCATTAACAAAAAGTGATTAGCTCTGACTTATTTCCGCACTGTTAACATCAATTTATTAATATTCTGTATATTCACATGTTACATATCTGCACAAATATTAATCTTCGATTTATTTCTTATTATTCTTATCTTCAGTGATCTAACTTGACTAAAGTAATAGCTCTATATTCAGTTTCCTCTAAATCCTAATATCTTTAAGAATATCGCGATAAAACATTGTAAAACACAATTTAAAATCGTTATAGTTAGCAAAATAAGACAAAAATATATGTTTACGTTTTTGATCCAGTTTTAACATATAGCATTCTTTCTCAAAATACAGAATGTCTTGGAAACGTTTTATAATAAAGATTTATTATCAGATAAAATTATTGGTATTAATATATATGTGCGTCTATCTTTATATATGTATAATCAATATAGTATATATTTTATCCTCAGTATAAGGAGAAATTTGAATTGCTAAACTCTTTCTAATATTCTAGTAAAAGTTATACTTATCTTAAAGAAGTACAGTTATTTAGATCTTGATTTGGATTAAACCTAAGTCAAGCTAATGTCTGGGCTAAGAAACTAAATATAAAAATAGTAATTTCTCATATCATAATATTATTTATCCTGAAATTTTCATTATGATACCAATATACTTGAAAGTATTGAAAGTATATAAAAAAAAAGAATAATAACAAACATTTTATGCATTTTTTTAATTTTATTTTCTTTCATTATCTCCAAAAAAATTAATTTATCAACTTTTATCATATCGAAAAAGCTTCAAAAGTGAAGAAATATGCTAATTTTTAGAAATCCAACTGTCCATCAATTGTTAAAATATAACCCTATTAAATGTAATGTAAGAACTTGTGCAGAATATACAGCTTAAATACAATATACATTTTTAATATTAATACTACAATTATTATAGAAAAGTACGAATGGTGCCAAGGTCGAACTGAAAGAAAAATTCGAGAAATAATATTACAAATATCAGAAAACCTCATATTTGTCATATATAAATTTGAAAACACGATTTCAGTCAAATTTATAGTATACATACAATTGTATGTATAATATAATATATTTGTATATGTATAATACATTTATTTATACATACAATTGTATATATAAATAAAATACATACAATTTATACATACATAAATGAGGTATATAAATTCGGAAATTGAGAGTATTAAAGATGCCTATATTATTAATTAATCTCACAAACATTTAGATAATACAAAATTTATTTATTTTGTTTCTTCCATATAAATAGAAGAAGCTTTGCTATCTAAAGTTTTATTAATAACTTTATCTTTTTGTTAATATTTTAGAAGTGTAAATTTTCATATCCCAACTTCTCCAGAATTTTCTCGCTATTTTCTCTATTCAGTCCAACCTTGAATGGCATTTATATATACAATTATTATCACTAGATCAGTGAGCGGATAGCCGAATTTCTTTCATGACAATCCTTTAACCAGTAAGTTAAATATTATTATATAACACTACATACATAATACGTATATTGAATAAATTCCAAAAGGATATAAAATTCTTTCAATCTTTGATGCTAAAATAAACAAAGTATTAAAAAATATTAATTTGAGAGAAATGATTATGTCAATATTCAGAAATACGAAATTCATTTTCAATAAGAATCACAAAAGTGATACAAAAATAAAAGTAGATTCGATTATTATTAATTCTCCCATCGAAAAACTACTAACTACAGATTAATTGAGAATTATGTATTTATTAAAACTAATTCATTTTTTTATCGAGAAAGTTTGCCAATCGTATCAACCAAATAAAATCGATCATATTCACGATTTGTTATTTCCGAATTCGATCGCCGCTACGAAAATATTGCATCTAAGGCGTGAATAATTTTTTTTTCTTCGGAGATTGCTTTTTGATGACTTTCATACAGAGTCACCGAAGGGTCCCAAGATTTATTTTGGCTTGTATTTTGCCTCATCCGGGAAAGCCTCTCTGGGTGGTATGAGACTTAGCATCATTACGTGACGCGCGTAATTCCGCGAATTACGGAATTGCGTGTCAGTACCATGAATGCGATCTAAAACGCCGAGCACACCGTAACACTGATTGAACCTGAAAATATTCGCATATTTAAAGCAGCTATATAAATCAACTGTATAACTAAACAATTTTAAATCTTGATTTTTCTATGTGAAAATCGATATAAAGCTCTTATTCTACACTTAAAATTTGTTTTAAGGATTTATTATAAAAAATAATTAATATATGTACTTTAAGTGATGAAAGTCGTGCGCTTCCGGTGATGGGAAGAATGGTAGATGATAGCCTGAATGTGCATTCAATGTCGAAAGAATTGCAAGTGAGAACCAAATCCAGGCGGTGGCTACATGGGAACCCATGATAACGACACCCAAGAAGGGAGGAAGTAGATTTGAGCCAATATTTTCCAAAGGATGACAATATAAAGCAGTGACAGCTATAGGCGCAGTCCATTCATGATGCTGCTTATGTATATATTTGTATAGGAAACCCTTGTGAAGAAATCTGCAAAATAATTTAATAGTAAATGTTTCGATATAATATCAACATCCATATAAATTAAATATATCCATATAATTAAATATCTATTTAATGTTAAATACAACTTTTTAATTTTAAAGCCGATATAATATTTAACGCTACCTACAAATAAAACAAAGAATAATCAGATACATATATATGATATTTGATTAGTGACATATGTTAAAGTCATCCGAGTCTGTGTCATCTGTGTAAATTTTTGTAAAGATTTACCGTCATTTTTTTACATTCATAAAGTTACTCGATTCTATAAACATGATTCTGCATTAATTTATTTTTTTCAATAATTTAATTTAATAGCTTATTAATTCAATAGCTTATTAATTCATGTAAGATTTATTTATTAGCATTTAATTCTAATATTATCAATTCTTTTTTTGCACATCAGATATTTCGATACGAATCAACAAGATTATCGACCATTTGGAATTTATTTAATAAAAATTTATTAAATTCAATATTGCGTGTTATTGCGATTGCGATTTATGGATTAGCGACTTCCAAGCAAGATGTACCTGTGCGAGTAATAAAAGCCAATCTCCTCGCATAATATGTGAATCGCGATTTCAGCGAGCACCCAGTGGAAGGTCGGTAGCTCGCGCACCGGAGGGTAACCGCGCCATTCCATGAAATAATAGGCGAGATACATAATAGGTAAACCGACGACGATCTGATTGAACAGTACTTGAGCGATCACTTTGCATAACTTCCTCTTGTTCACTGGTTCGTTCGTGCCGGGCTGTATTTTGTATCTACGCACTGCCGCCGGCCGATTGGTGATGTCTAAAATAGTGTAAATTCCACCGACGATCCAGTAAACAGCGATCGTCAATACTAAAGATCCTGCAATAGATATGAGATTGTTTAATAATGTTCAATGACGCAAATGTCATGACACTTTCAAAATATTCCTTTTTCGACACGTGAATTTCCAGTTATACTCGTAAATATATAAATTTATTAACTAATAATATGATAATTGACAACAACAATTGATGTAAAAGATACATGGAAAGAACAATTTTGCTATAGAATCTAGAAATTTGATTACATATAAAAATAATCGTGTTGGACTATCAAAATTATTGTTTTTATCTCTATAATTTCCAATATCAAGAAATTTCTATAAAATAATTTAGTTATTCTTGAAAACTTTAATTCAAAAAAATTCTATTACAAAAATATTATTTAATATTTTAATTAAGAAAATACAATATTTACATTTAAAAAAAGTTAATCATTAAAACTAATAATATATCTTTACATAAATTTTTTCTTTTTTCTATTGAATCTATTTTTTCTAACAAAAATTTTAACATGCTGTACATGTTATATATTTTCAAATTTATAAAAATTAACGTGCTTCTCGAACTTACCATAAACCCACAATGTGACAGGATCATCTCCAAATTTATCTAAAATCTTATCCCATTGAGCTTGCCAAAAATCACCAGATGCACCCCAGAATTTTTGTAAATGCCTGAAATTTCTTCCTGATTAGTAAAATCTAAAGGAATATAAATAAATAAAAAAGTATAGAAAAACTTTTAATAAATATAGAAAAACTTTCTTTATTTTTTATTTTTTAGAACTAGAATATTTGCAAGCAAGAAAATTTTTAATATGTTATCCTTCAACACTTTTTGAGATCATAATAACATAATTATCAAGCGGAAAGTTTCAGAGATTATTTGGAGATTACTTCTTTATCGTATCGTAAACAAGTCAGCTTCCTATCAGGATTAAAAATAATTATCATTTACTTTTAGACATTCATATATAAAAATAAGTATATAAAGTAAGAGAAAATAAATAATTTATAGAAATTTAGTCAATACAAAGTAAGAAGAGAGCTAAGACAAAATACGAAAGTTGACTGTAATTCTATTTATGCGGATCATGAAGTAAAACAGAAAATAATAAACATGCCACAATTTGCATTACCATGTCAGGGAATTGCAGAAGGCGGCAAATCCGATCACTACAGTTCCGATAACGAAGAGTACACTCCTCAAACTTGAGAGAAGCGTTGGCGGAGTTTGACTCTTTGAGGCATCTCCAATAGCGGAGGTTGCTGCAAATAATGATATATAAATTAATTATAGGAAAAACATTTATCCCAAATCAAAAGTAAAAATAAAGTATAATCAATTATAATGTCGGATTTATGAGATTTATAAAAGTTAACACGTTTTGGTCTATCTGCTGCTAGATCTAAATAATCCGATCCTAACAAACGTATTTTGTTATTGCAATAAAAGTGCCTAATTATTTTTAATAAATAGAATTAGTACATATATATTTGCATGTTTCTTACAAAAGAATTATTAATTATTAATACGTGAATTAATTAATCTGTCTACTGAACTAGCCTTCCATTATAAAAGTATTCTTTTTGCTAAATAAAAAGTATACAAATTAATTTTAGTTTCTTAAAGTACAAATAAAATATAATTATATTTATTTATTCGTTCTGTATATGGAGGAAGAGAGGTAATTGGATGAACATGTATCAATTTTAAGTCTGAATAAACAAATAAATAAAAAAATAGAGAGAGAGAGAGAGAGAGAGAGAGAGAGAGAGCGCATAATTATTAAATACAAAGTTATTTAAAATAAAATAAGAATTGTTTCTTCAGATTATACTTAAAGTGCACTTTGTTTTTGTTTTAAAATATGTGAATGATAATTTCATTACGTAAAATAAATCAATATTCCATTGACATATGTCAATTCGAAAACTGGTTACTGGAGCAAAGGGAAAGCAAGCGGAAATTTTCAATTGACATTTCATGTCTATTATATAACATTGTATAACATTGGACAATAGAATAACACGCAGAATTTAATTTTTGAAGAATAAAACAAGTTATCGATCCAATTACGAAATTATCTAATATATTTTCGATATATTTAAGATAAAGATTCAGTAAATATTATTTTATTAGAAAATAAAAAAAATCATGCAATTAAAAAATAAATAATGTTAGTATATTAAATTGCATAGAATAAATGCACAAGAATAAATAGATAAGAAAATTTTACTTTAATAAGATTATATCAGCTTTTTTGAGGATATTAATGTTAATATTTAAAATTTTATAAAAGAAGATAGGAATTCTTTTAAACCTTTATGAAAAAAAAATCAATATTACAAGTAAGTCGAAATATTTGTAAAGACAAAATAGCTATAAAAACTCTCTCTGTAATAACTATAATAATATATAATAATAAATAATAATAAACTCTATTATACATAAATAATAATAAGTCTGGAAGTAATCCTTTCCTGAAAATCCACCATCAATACTCAACATGTCCATTGTGTCTCACGTTACACATATATTTACATACATTTTATGTAAAGAATTGATTTATCTAAAGAATGACTATATATTTCAATATAAATATATTTAAATATATTAATATATATTTATAAAAGATAATTAGAATCAATCTTTTATTAATTAAAATCACTATATTAAATAACTTTTTACTCAAATAAAATTACATAACATATATATAATTTTAAAGTTCGGTTCTTTCGTAATGCGACATCATTATGTGACGTCAGAGGCGGGAAATGATATACAAAAAGTTTATTGCGCTGCTCTCATAATATTAATAATTTATTGATTCCAAAGTAGATAAATTAAATTCTAATAACATAACCCTGAATGGGCTTTTTCAATAATACATAAGTTTAAAAAAAAATATAAAATATAAAATAACAAGAAATATTAGTTGTAACAATAAGCAAATACAAATTCAGTGTTTTATGCATATATCTATAGCGAGCGAAAAACAACTAGATCTAGTGATTTCTAATAGCTGAGCAGTATACCATTATTTCAAGAATTATTTTACACTTTACATGATCTGTTACAGATATTTCAGTTTCTGATATTTTTTATAAATTTTAAGAATATGGAAATATTATGATATATTTTTAAGGAAAAAATACAAAATAAAACTGTACGGCTCAAGAAACTTTTTGCATGTTATTTTTCGCTTTTGACATAATTCATATAACTGCAACGAGAGAGCTTTAATATTATATCTGATGCTAATTGTATGTAACTGTGTCGCTATTAGCACTATCAAATATTACTACTCACTTTAATTGCTTTAATTACTCGATAATTACGATTTACGCGTCTTACTTTATATTTATTTAATTTTTGTCTTAAATGAAAGGTACCACGATTTTTATCTATTCTTTTTTAAATAAAATATTAACATTGTAAATGTAAAATAATAAAATCTAGAGAAAAAAATATTATAAAACGTACAAAATTATAAAGGTTATTAACTATACTTCCTTACATTGCTCTTTTGCTGCGTAGTTTCATCTATTTACACCACTAATTATGTAATTTGATTTCACTTTGCAAAATTGAGGCAAATTAATGTTTACATACGTTATCTTTCTTTGTGTTCTAAAAGTAATTCATTTAGTGTTCTTTGTTTGCATTATATTATTTTGTTTTATATTACAATATAAATATATTATAACATGTAAATTTTCAATTATAATCATTCATTTTTTTTCATTAATATCAAAGTTTAAAAAAAATTTGTTTGATAAATAGAATGCATCTTTTTGAAATAAATAACATTTCATGATTTTTCAAAAATTACCCTCGTAAGAAAATCTAAAATAAAAATAACATAGATAAAAAAGAAGATAAAAATTAAATACTTAGAGAAATAATATTATATAAAGTAGAATTATAGTATTATATAATATTATATATAAAATAATAGTATTATATATAAATATATATATAATATAATATATATATATATATATATATATATATATATAAAATATAGTATTATATATAAAAAATGTATGAAATATATATGTTTATGTTTTGATTTTATATATTCATTTAATCAGAAAGATATATAATATTTTCATGACTACAATTCATAATGTTAAATGATTCCGTAAAATATATATCAATTTAGATTTTACATGCTTATATAATGCTGCCAAATTAATAATAAAATAGTACTAAAATAGTACTAAAATTTACAATTAGATTTATCTATATCTAAATAAAATCAAAAAGAAAAAGGAAAAAAATCTGTTGTAAAAGAATATTTAAAAATCCAATAAGAAAGAAAGCATATAAAACAAACAATTTATTTAAATTTTCTCTTTAATATTTGAATTATAATAAAAAGTTATAAAGTTTATATCTTATATTATTTATATCTTAACATGAATGTTATACCATATCTATGTTATCTATGATATACCATAAAATATAAATTTTTAGAATTAGAATACTAATTAGCATCCGATATATACTTTAATTATTAATCGAACAAAACGATAACGAATGATTTATGAGTAATTGCTCAATGTTATTTCAATACATTCGCAGCATTATTAAGCAACTGATTATTCATAAAAAAAATTCAACACATCGACATGACATTGAATTCAGTATTGATAAGAATCACTCGTCTCAAACAGTAGTACACATGCACTCTTACTATTCTCGTCGTTTATATTTTAACACACGCTCTCATAGTATCAATAATTTATTGATTCCAAAGTAGACAAATTAAATTATGATAACGTAACCCTGAATAGGCTTTTTCAATAATGTGTAAATTATTTGAAAGAAATATAAAATAACAAGAAATATGTTAACGATAAGCAAATACAAATTCAGTGTTTTATGCATATATCTATCGCGAATGATTGTATGTATCTGGAAGAGTATTTGCTTCAAAACAATCTTCATGCGTCAAGATGTTAGCACGATAGCCTCGGGAATTGCAGGCTATCCAATACCATTTTGTAATCATTATCTATTTGTAAATATTTTATTTTAAACATAGCTTAATTGACAATAGTAAGCGTTTAATCAAAAATAAAAAACAAAGTTGATATACAAAATTGCTTAATATAACCTTTGAGAAGAGAAAGTAACGCAAGGAAATGACGCAAATTTGCTTCTGACACTTTTAAATCAATTCTATTTTAAAGAAATTCAAGAGCATAATAAGTAATATCAGAGGAAAATTGTTCATACTGGTGTAGATTCATTAAACTTTTATTAAATTCCGAGTATTACAATGATGACATTGTGATAAAAAATTATGCAAAAACATGATTAATAGATTCGTTATGAGACAAATAACAAGAAAAATAGAGAATAAAAACTTCGTCCTTGTCAATAAAAATAATATCACCTTATTCTTGTACATCTCACAAAATATGTGTGCGTTAACAAATTGTGTTGCTTTCGGTGTATGTACTATGTAACACGTTTAATAGTATCGATCATTATACCTCATTACAGAGCACTCATTATCTACATTAAAAAAAAAAATTAGACTTTATTCATGACACAACTATAAATTTTTATAAACAGTGCATTAAATTATAAAAACAGATTCGTTATAAATGTTCAAAGTGCATCAAAACAATCACAGCACTTATTTAATATTATCGTAAAATAAAAATTTTCGTTTCGAAAAAATTTCTTAGAAAAACTTTCTCAATCTTGGACAAAAGAACTGTCTCAACTCTGACAAAAGAATTATCTTTATCTTCTTCCAACAAATAAAATTCCTTTTTCTTCCAGAAAAAAGGAGAAGATTTCAAGTTTTTCTTTTAAATATTAATATTATTTCGAATAAAAATATTATCATAAATAATTAAAGCGTTCAAAATACGCTCAAAAAATATTAATTAATAAAAATCAAACAAGAGCAGCTGCTCGAGCATTGATCACGTTAGCACTCACTTTTCACATTGCACTCTGACTTTTGTGAGGATCTTCGATATCTGTATGGCCAAAACATTATCTTAAATGAGCGGCGGCGCAACTGGTTTCTCAAGCGGCTCCAGACCGTACCGTGCTGCACCGATCATTCACCGCTACTGACCGCTGCGACTCGTATCGTTAAACGAGACGCACTGACCAGCAACGTTTCACGATTTGCTAGCAAAGGTCTAAGGACGCATCCATGTCCGTCGCCCCGGCGCCGCCAATTTCCTTTGTTTACGCCGCGAATGAAGGAACATCTGAGATGATTCGATAGTGTCGAGAGTGATATTTTTCTCTTTGTATCAATATAATTTTGGTACTTTTGTAATTATGTCATAATTTTGGTACTTTTTGTAATTATGTCAATTAAATATTTCCGATATTTCGAATACTTCCCTTACTTGAACAATAACGTCTCATTAAACACTACGTTATCGAAAGGAGATCTTCAAAAATTCTCATATTTGAGAGTAAAATGCTCGGCTTATACATCTTAAAAATAACATAATGATATCGATAAATTTTTCAATACATCAATTCCAGAAGGGAAAAAAATGTCATCGTTTGTTGCTACAAAGCGATTTTTTTCTAAAAAAAATAAAATAAATAATTCATTATTTAATTAGAAGCTTTAGAAGCGAGTTTTCAATGTTTAATTAAGTCGTTCTATCGATAATAAGAATTTCAAAAATTTGTCTTTCTTTTGCAAACAACTCAAAAATGACGAATTTTTAATTATATTGTTACTGTAGCAAATAAGCAATATAAGTTTGCGAAATAAGAAAAAATAAATTGTTTTTATATTTATGATAAAAAATCTACCATAAGAAAAATTATAATCATAAAACATCTCTCAACAATAAATATAATTATATAATCCTGTATATATAATCCTAAAATAAATCTAATATATATAGCATTTATTAATTCTGTTTCTTTCCAATTTTAATTAAATTGATCTTTTGTATTTTTTTTGTATCCTTTAATTGTTAATTAACTGAGTAATTAAAAGGGTAATTATGAGTAATTAAAAGAATTCTATAATTTATCAAATAAATGATAGATCATTTATTAAAATAAATCCAGTTAAAAGTAATAAAAACGAATTCATGAGTAATAAAAATAAATTCATAAGTAGTAAAAATAATAAATATAACTAGATATAAAAAAATAAATGTTTAAATAAGACTTTAATACAAAAGAATTTAATTAAATGAAATGTTGTTTCCATTATTAACAGCATATACAAATGAAATCTTATCGAAGATGAAATATATGATAACATAAGACAATGCATATGACTAACTTTAAACACAAGCGACTGTTATGGTTTAATCTCATCATTAATTACTATCGATTATTAAATCAATTTTGCTCCTTTGTTTTCTTTATAAGAATAATTATCATAACAAAGAAACAAAGCAAAGAAAGAATTAAAAAAAATGAATAAAATAATTTAATCAAGAAAAAAAAATAGAAGAGAAGAATTAAAATTAAAATTTAAAAACTATGTAACAAGAAAGACTCGTTAATTATTCGAATAAATATAATTCGAATAAATATAATTCGCATAAATTATAATAAATAATAAATAATTCATAAAACGTTGACAAGAAGCATTTTATTTTCTCATTTAAATACATTTTTTAAAAATGGAAATGTAGCCAAAAAATTTTAATCTATTTATATATAAATGTATCTAGATTATATTTCAATTTGAATATATATAAACGAAAATTGTAAAAAATGATGTGAATTTTTATATCACAAAAAATAATTTAAAAAAAAAATAAAAAATAAAAATTTAAGAAAATCTTCGATTTTTCAATAAATAAAGAATAAAGAATTTACTTTCATATAATTACTGCAATTTCGTTAAATAATTATCATACTATTTGCATTTATACCTGCATGTAAAAAAAATCAAATTTTTTTTTATACATATAATTATCATAAATTATTTATACAAGATTAATAAAGATAATATTAAGATTTATAAAAAGTTAAGATTTACAAATTAATAGACGATATAGACGACATAGATATAGACGATATAGACAAAATAGATGAATAAGCGACATGATTATTTTATGATTTTACGTTTAATTAATGCATATAAGTGTACACACACACACACACACACACACACACACACACACACACACACACACACGACAGAGAGAGAGAGAGAGAGAGAGAGAGAGAGAGAGAGAGAGAGAGAGAGAGAGAGAGAGAGAGAATGTATACACATCATATAAGATAGAAGAAGGAGGTCGATCAAATTAATATAGCTTGATCCACTTAAATGTAAACAGATCGACGATGATACTCGAATAAGTTAATTAATTTTAAACGGACAGAATAAAGTAACATATCTACTAAATTAAATTAAGTTAAATTCTTCTCTAGATTACAATCGAATTAGTTAAAATTGATTTTTCTAAATATAGTCAGTTATATAGCGTACATTTATCAATAAACCCGTCTCTAGTAAGACAAACTTTCCAAGTTGGATTCGTTCTCGTAGAATTACCGTGCTAAAGTACGCGTGACATGTCGGAAGCGAGATATCGATGTTTTGACTGTTCCATTTCAGAAACAAGGACAGAAATCGGGTCAGATCCTTGCGATGAAAACTGAAATTTCGTTATTGATCCAATATTGATCAAATGCATATCGCGCGTATCGGCGAACGTGCGAAGCTCCGTTTTTCGGAAAAAGGCACTACGCTTTTTTTCCGCCTCCTGGCGTAAAGCGGAGACAAACCGCTCCTGCGGAAGTCCTCCGACTTTTCTCGATGCAACCGGAGCGATATAAACTTTTCACGCGCGGGAAGCTCGACCGTCCGTGAATAGTCCGTGACAGATTCACATCCTCGGAGGGGACGATTCTCACGCGGAGGAGGGAATCGTGAAGGACATTTCGTAGAGGAAAATTTCGCGCGAGAAGCCCCGCTCTCCTCGTCGCCAAAGGAATCGCGATTAAAATCGCGATCGCGCGCAACACGCAAAATGGCTCGCTCGCACGGTCGCGCCATCCGGAATTTCATTGACTCCGGAAGTCACGGACGGAGATATCGCAGAACAAACGGACGGACTCCTGTCGACGCGGTCGAGGCAAGAAGGAATGATGATGCATTTTCCGCGGAAGGGGGAGGGGATATCGCATCTCGAACGAGTTCCTGCTCTCACGTGTACATCGACCGACCGACCGACCGTTCGTCCGTTCGTTCGTTCGTTCGTGACCGAGCCAACGACGAGGAGAGTCGATCGCGAAGGCCGAGCGCGCCGCGCAGCGGCACGGGATTCCGTGAACTTTTCCGCGTGCCATCGTTTCCACATAATTTTCCTACCTTTGTACTGCCGCTGCATCTCCATTGTCGACACGCACCACACGGCGACGGTGCGTCAAAACAGGAAAATTACGCTGCTCCCCGGCGGCACGAGCGGGCGCGACGAGATGCGCGTGAATAGTCGATAGGCACCGACGGCGACGGCGACGATGACGCGAGCGGCGCCGAAAGCCGCAAATGCGCCGTTCCGTTTTGCGTCGCGCGCGCGACGCTCGCCTTCCCGCGCGGATGAGAACGTTAAGCTGGAGAGAAATTGGTATTATGAAGGGCTATGTAGATAATGCGTACATTCCTAATATCTTCCTTATTTAGATACCGAATTCTAGTAATTACTTAATGGAATCATTTAGTAGCAACAACGTTGCGTAATGACGCTAATATGCCAGTGTACGCGAGCCGATATTTGCTTTCGAATATTTCGATACTTTTCTAAGACAATATATTTCTATTTTCGAGATTTTTATATTGAAATAATTCTCCGATAATAATTTAAGTTCAATTAAAAAATTTAGAAGTCCAAAAGTTTGTTTTGTAGAAACTGACTTCTTTCGCAATTTGTCTATCTTCTAATTTATCTTCTAATTGAAATAAGCATCTATCTTTATCTTTATTTTAAAACTTTACGATTATATTGTAGTACTTTCTAACAGTTGATTTTAAACAAATAAATAACCAATAATTTTATTAAACAAAATATTGTGTCTTTTTTAAACAAAATCAATTTTTCAATTTATTTTTGTGATACCTTATATTACTACATCTATTTCTCTTCAATCCATTATGCAGCTATTTTTATAAATAACATGTAATATAATAAATATTTCATAACTTTGAGTCTAGAATCTATTGGATAATATTTTGATGAATATTAAACTTTCAATTTAATTAAATATTGATTATTAAGTTATTGATTATTAAGTTATATATACAAAATGTAAATGTAAATGGACTATACCACGTTTTTCTCTACTATTCCTTATAATGGTCTTGATTTTTCCTAGATTAACACAGGCCATGGCAAAATACGATGTTTCTTGAAGAATACAAAATCACAAATTGGTAAAACTAAGTCGAAATTGAAAAACAAAAGCAGAAATGCGCGATGACGCGATATAAAAATTATCTAAAAACGAAACACGTTCGCTGTATACAACGGTCCGGAGACTTTCGAGAATATTATAGTGTGTCCTGGTAAAATATGGGACGTTGTAAGTGCCATCAAAGAGCCTGAATGTAATTAATTCCCTAGACTTGGTCTTTTCAGCTGAACTTTTTGCACCGTTCATCTTTTCTCTTTTTTTCCAACAAAAAAAAGAAAGAGGAAAGCAAGAAAGATGAACATGCAAAAAATTTATTTGAAAAGAACAGACCTGTTAACCTGTCTCCATGAAATTTTACGCCGAATCTTACGCCGGGAATCAACGGCTAGTTCCGGAAACACATACAAAATACCATTTATAGGGTATAATATTAAATCTATATTTTATACATAAATATTTATTGCGCATTTGTTTACAGAAAAGAAAAATTAAATGATATAGAAAGCTGAAGCAAGCTGAAGATTAATTGAAGCAAGAGAAATTAT